GTAGTTCAGAAACTGCCCTACTCCATGCCAAGGCTGGCTTATTTATTTGACACGCTGCACTCACTGGGTCTCTAGGGTACCAGGTAAAGGGTCTCTCTTAGGCATACTTGAAGATGCATTACAGAGACATATCCTCTTCCATAATTCATGCTTGGGTCTTAAAAGAAGTTCAGGCCAAAGTTATAAGAAATCAGATAAACAGCTCCAAGAGAGCTTCATACTTCAAGTTCAAAGGAACTGCCATAAATAACTGCGAATGTTTATGAAGAGACAATATTTTGCAATAAGGCAAAATAGCAAACAAAGCTGTGTAGTCAGTGTCTCCTGAGTGAACATCCATATCCTCAAATTGAACTTTTTTTTTTTATCAATTGCTTTTTAAAAAAAGGCTTTGATTCCTTAATAGCGGAGAGTCCATTTAGACCATTTTCAATGCAATTCCTACCCAAAATGTATTACTATTTGAGAATGTAGCACAAACAACCACAATGATCTCAGGGATAGTGGTTTCCAACATAAGACAATTGGGGGAGGGGGGTTAATAATATGGAGAAATGCCTTTTCTTAACAGGAATTCCCCTCAAGAGTAATCCATTGGTAATTAATTGTCCTTATTTTATCAAAATAAAATAAATAAAATAAAATAAAATTTTGATCAATGAGCAAAAGTTACACATACATAGCCTAGGTGGTATAACTTAGCAAAAATTAATACCGAACATAGAATTATAAAACAAATTACCTCAAATTCATTTTTTTTCTTCTCCACATTTTTCTTCTTTAATTTTCTACCACACTACTCAACATTTAGATACACACTATGTGTATCTTGGTTCAAAATCAACGCCATCATAGATCTAGTGAATGTAAACCAAAATGGAACTAGGTTGGCCCAAAAAACTGATTGTGACATATAAGGAGAATGCTGGAACAACAACAAAAAAACCCTTTGTATAATGTATAGCTGTATAATCTTCCTAGATATATCTATGGTGAACTAAAAAAGAGGAATAATCCAACCAAAGAAGATTCAGCAGTAACATTAAACAGAAAAATAGGCAAATGTATACTCTGAAGAAATTGAGTGAATTCCATGTAAAATGAAATAATAGAAAGTTTAAAACAGTGTAAAAGCAAACTGCACAGAAAGCAAATAGCAAGCCTGTGAATAAGAACATGATGGAAACTATATGGCAAAAAAATAGCTCAAAAGATCTAAGACTTTTAGAAACCTAAAATTAAAACCATACTTTTTTGGGAAATCTTATCCTAATGAACAGATTGCCAGAAGTAATAATGGTTTCTAAAATCCATTAGAGCAAAACACTTCCGAAATAATAGAATACTCCAAGGGATATTTACGAATCTAAATACTACTTAATTTGGAAAATTAAAATAATAAAGCCTTCCAAGACTGAAACTTATCAGGAATGTGTATATAAGAGGAAGCAGATTTTCCTCTGATGTTCAGGATTTATCTCTTCTTCACCTCCTCATATACCAGGAAAAAACTTCAAAGTCCTAAGGGTGTTTTCACACACTGTATTTTTAGATACATTTAAAAAGTACATGTCTAAATATTTAAGAAGCAAACATGATGGAGATGTATTTTATGTGAGGATGATGAATCAAACACTAAGAGTCAGAACTGGCTTCAGGTCACATTATACATTTAATGGCAATCCTAAATTGTTTTTTTTAAATGTACATAATCAACTTTATGCATCTATCTGTACAATCAACCTGAAAGCTGCAGAGATGGGCTTTTCATTCTGAAAAGAGAGGAAAAAATATTTCCCCGTTCTAATCCACTTCTATGCAATGCATATGGCAAGGTTACAGGTCTAATGGAAGTTATGAACAAATGCTTTCATTTTGTTTTCCCTTTTTCTTTCCTCGTAGGAAATAGAGAAAATGAGGTTTGAAATTAATTCCTAGAATCTTTCTAGGTCAAGGCAAAATAGTTCAGCAAACACCCAGGCATTTCTTTTCACCAAATTACCTCTAAGGAAATCCATTATGGTATTTGTTCACGCTACCTTTAATTCTGAAAGAAGTGTATAACCAGGATAACTTGTTTAACCTTGTTCTGGTTATCCAAGTGGTCAACCTTCAAATTTAGTATTTTAACAATGCCATTTACAGAATTCTCTATCATACTAAGAATAACTATACAAGTCTATTTTATATGATTAGGCTTTTTTCCACACTATTCTTTAAACAAGTAGAAACGAAGCATGAATGCAAGGGCTACCCACTGATACTTGACTTATTCCAGCGCGCGCACACACACACACACACACACACACACATAGAGTCAAATGCATTTTCGTAGTCAATGACAGCCATGCCCAGAGGCCTTTCAATGATTTGCTGAACAATCTGGATGTGATCCATTGTGCTGTAGCCATTTCTGAACCCTGCTTGCTCCTTTGGTTGTGCATCATTTAATGTTCGCAATATTCTTTTTGCTATTATCTTGGTGAAAACCTTGTAGATGGCTTATTGGGCGATGGTTCTTTATACCATCTTGGGCCCCTTTCTTGTATATAAGAATCACTTCAGCATTTTTCCGTGCATCGGGTATTTTTTTTCTTCTCTGAGGCATCTCAAGTAAAGATTTGCAAGTATCTTGTGTAAACTGTGACCACTAGTTTATATAAACTTACTACAATCAACATATGAAAAAACAATGGCAACAATTTGCCTTAATGATCTTAAAGTAGAAATCAACATAGGACAAGATGTATGCCAACGGGATACAATATCACCTATCCATTTCTCAGTCTGTCTTGAAGAACTATTTTGCTAACTAGTCTGGACAAAAGATAGAATACAAATCAATGGTGCCTACTTAACCACTTAAGATTTGCAGATGATGGTGTTTTCTTCTCACAAGACCCAAAGGAGTTACAAAGACACATACAAGAGCTGCACAAAGCAGAACAATCATTTGGCTTAAAAATAAACCTGAAAAAGAGCCAGGTTATGTTTAATAAATTCACTAAAGAAAGAAAAAAAATATCTGGAGAAGAACTAGATGTAGTAGACCACTACATATACCTTGGCCAACAGACCTCAATAGAAGATGATACATTAAAGAAAAATTGAACAGTGTATTAAATGCAGTTGGCAGATATTTGGCAAGCTTAGCATAATTTTCAAGAACAACCTGCCCCTATACCTGAAGAGAAAGGTTTTTGATCAGTGTGTGCCACCTGCTCTAACGTATGCCAGGGAAACATGGACACGAACCTCACAATTGATACAAAAGCTACAAGTAGTAAAAAGAGCCATGGAAAGATACATGCTTGGCATTAAAAGACAAGATAGAAAGACCTGCACATGGATCAGACAACAAACATAAGTATATTATCAAGACAGTGAAAGAACTAAAATGGAAATAGGCTGGTCACATAGCAAGAACTGACAGCAGGTAGACCAAGGCAGTCATTGAATGGATCCCAGTTGATAAAAAGTGTCCACAAAAGAGACCTAAAACAAGATGGATTGTCAACATCAGCAAGTATTGTGGGCCCACTTGGCAAAAGAAAGCTCAGGAACGTATAGGTTGGAAACACGCGAAAAAGGCCTTCATCCTACAGTAGATAGATAATGGCTAAGATGCTGATGATAATGATTATGATGCATATTTTAGTCATTGAAAAAAATATTGTTATTAAAAAAACCATTTACTTAGATTTACAGATGACAGTGTGTCTCCAGCAGAGTTTTTATTCTGTGTATCTTCAGGATTGAGATGATACACTGTGTTCACTATATGAGTATTAAATTAATCCCTACCTTAAAGAATTTAAATGAGCTTTATGAACTGGTTTCAAGCAGTAGTATTAATCTGGTATATTTGATTCCTCCAGCATGAGATATCAATAAATGGATTTCTAACATTAGAACTGTGGTTATTTTTTATTTATAATTGAATATCACTGAGTTTATTTCATTTAATTAAATTCTGAGGCCATTCAAGTAATATTTTATTTTATTTAGCTTCATAATGTCCAAATACTTGTTACTTTAGCACCTAATATTATGTATCTTCATAAATCATATCTTTATCCTGTAAAAGTTGCGAAATGAACAGATGAGTAATGACCAGGAGTGGAATAAGACACTTGGGAGTTCTTTTTTCTCTCTGGATGTGAAAGCAAGAAACCACAACGATACTCAAATCAAATTCTTCTAAATGCCTGTTTCTTCTTTTTGGCCACTCATTTCTACTGAGTCATGATGGAAACTGAGACAAAGTACTACAAACAATTGATTAAAAGGAGATAGGTGTTTTTGCTGGCTCATAATCTCCAGAAGAAAAACATTGTGGATAGCAAGGGCCAAGTGAGCAACATGTAACACTTCAGAAGCAGATGGACTACAATTCCCAGCAACCTGCCACCATGGCCACTGGTGAAAAATGACAATAGCTGAAGACATCTCAAGGCCTTCAGGCTCCCTGTCCCCTGCTCTAGTGGATGAGGTTCAGTTGACTGAGTTTCATGTTTAATGAAATAATAATATCAATAAAACGGGGAAGTAAAGAAGATAGTGAAAAGGAATAAATAATATTACAGCCACACTCTAGATAGAACTGCAAGAATTAGGTGTTCAGTAGAATAATGTCAACAAAGGAAAAAAACTAACCCTACGTCTAGTTGTAATAAAATTAAAATAACATAAAATAAATGAAATAATAATAAACTAAACTAAAAATATATAATAAAATATAACTAATGTTAAGCACTCCTGTCCCCTGAAGCATACCAGGGCTGGCTTAGCAGAAAATAATAAGAGGACTGGGCAGGTATGCTTTCTCCTTCTGAAGCAAGGATGAAAAGCCCTGGGCACCTGAAGGCCATTCCAACCTTCTCAGGGACCCTCTGACTGCCCTCCCTGCCTGAGTGGCAGCTGGTCAGCCAGAAGCCCCGAGTGCTCTCCCCCCCTTCCCGTGCGTGGGGCTGGAGCTGCGGCTTCCGCCACCCGGGTACCTGCCCAGGCTGTTGCAGAACAGTCGGTTGCTGGGCTGCTTCGCCGATCCCCAGCTGCTCCTTGAGGAGGTGGGGATAACTGAGGCAATGCTTGAGCGCCGGCGGGACGTTGCCCATGGCGCCCGTCTCCCCTCAAGAGCTGGCAAGCCGCCCCACCACCTCCTGTCCGCAAGGTCACAGCCACCCGCGGCTTGTGCGCCCAGCCATCTGCCAAGCCGCTTGCCGGAACCCAATGCCTGGCCCAGCGTGGGCGCAGCATCCGCCTGGGCCGGCCGAGGGAATCCCGGCCGATTCTGATTGGCTGAGAGGGATGCCGGGACTTCGCGGGGCCAGCATCCTTTGGGTCGCCGGAGGAGGAGGAGAGAGGAGGTCGGATAGGCGCGATGCTCGGCCGCTTCGGGCGCTGAAGACGTTTCGGAGACGGGAACCCGGGATGGTGGCCGCTTCTAGATCAGTATTTCGATCCTCTGCCCGCCTCGAAGAGCTGCTTCTGCTGCCTGAAAGGTGGAGGATTGAAACAGGGTTAGCCGACGGGCTCCTTATCCAGCAGGTGGCGGTCTTCAGGCTCTGCTTTTACACCATTAAAAATTGTGGCAGAAGGTCCCAAAGAAGGCAGGCTGGCAGAGGAAGAATTTCGAAAAGTTCATTAAGACTTAACGTGGGCTGCTGGGCATAATACCGTAGCAGACAGACAAGCGTGGGACAGGTTATAGAAGAAGAAATACAGTAGAGCATGGCAACAGTTTACATGCCTCTTGAGTTGAAGGCAGGCGCTCGGAGATCCAAAACATGTCCAGGCTTTGAGGCCTTGAGATATGATATATAAACAAAGGACTACCCTTGTAAAAAATATAGGGCACGAAAAATGACAAACGAAGAACCAATTTAAATAGTTATAAATACAATTACGAGCCTGTAAACTTGAGGACCAGTCGAAATGGCACTCTTGGACACAGCTCCTTCCCCTCATTCACTTTTTAGGTTGGAAGCTGCTAGGCCATGTCCACAGTTTCTGATGGATCTTTTCCCAAACGTTCATCAATGAATGTGGGATCTCCTGTATGCAAAGGAACCAGTGGCCTTCTTCCTTGATTGAGAGGGCAGCTGAATGAGGAACGGGATGCTTACTTATAACCATAAGCAAGATGATCAAAACTGATGGATTTTTTGGTCAGCGTGTAATTAAATTGTATGGGGAGGGGGAAGAGTGCATTGTTTGATGGCATAAATAGTGTTGAACAATCAGAAAAGAATGAACTAAGATACTTAGATGTCAAAATTGGCAAAAAGTCAGTGTGTTTACCAAGCAGGGATCAAACCTTCATCTAGTCAGTCTCGGCCAACAAAAGTGTTTTTGACATACATGAAGCTAACATAGTCCAGACTACATAACAGAAAACATTGGGTCTTAACCAGCAGTATAAGAGCTATCACCATCACATCACTTTTAATTGGAGAAAAAAATGTAAATTGTTGTCTTTTGTATTGGTGACTGAGGGCTAAAACTGCCAAATGTTGACTCTGCCAGAGAGATACCAGGTTTTCAAATCCAACTTTATTTCAAAAGATCACACGTGATCCCTTCAGATGATGAAATTAATTCTTGCACTTACTTTAAAACTTTTTAAAGCATCTACCAGATGGCTCCCTTGTATTGGAAAATTGCTTTCTGCAAGACTTGCTATCATCTACCATAAGGATCTCTACATATTAACCAAGAATCATTTTAGTTTTCTATCCAAAAGTTGAAGGTTCTGTTTCCTTCCTTGTCTTTGCACTGGGTTTTGGCAACTTTGGCAATTAATAAAAACTTATTTATTTAGACATCACAGTTTTTCCTACCCAGAATGTAAGAAAGATGGAATTTATTTGTATAAGTAAGCAATTTTCCACTCAACTTCTTAAAAGCCACTTCATTCCTTCATTGTTCATAAGAAGTTCATGGTATCATCTAGAATAGGGGTCTTCAAACTTGAGAGCTTTAAGACTTGTGGACTTCAACTCCCAGAATTCCTCCTCCTATCATGTTAGCTCAGGAATTCTGGGAGTTGAAATCCACAAGTCTTAAACTTGCCAACTTTGAAGACCCTTGATCTAGATTCTAGAAGGAGTGGAACATTTTTTGTTCAAGAGTTTAGGAGAGAAGAAAATGGATCAGCATTCCCTGTCATCTCCAGGTGGGACTGAGGTTCTTTTATGAATCCTAGGCCAGCAATAACCAATCTAGTGGTGAATAATGTCCACCTTGGGTCCTTAATAAAGGACCTCAAATGAAACCTCTTCCATGCCAATGCTTTATTCTGTCCACTCTGCTTATACAATGTACTGAAATTTATTTAAACAGAAGAAGAATCTGTAGAAGATAAGAGAAACCTTTCTTTCCAACATCTCTTGATGTGGATGAGATTTGGACAGAAGGAGAATTGGATCTTGGAATGGATTTTCTTTCTCACCATTGCTAACAATAGTCCTGGACTGGATAGACCAGTGATCTTATCAGTGATCTTATAATTCTTTGTTTCTAAAATTCAGGAAGGATTGCTAAACTGATTAGTTCAAGTCAGTTTGCAACAAATTATGCCTAAATCAGAATATAGTGTATGGACTCAGGAATAAACTTAGTGAAAGAAAGAAGTCAAAGGTATAGAATCCTTGAAAGGTAGTATAGTTGAATTTGTGAATTTAAAAATACTGAATTTATAAATGGAGTACTTTTACATAGAACTCATACAGAAATGAATAATCCATTATATTACAGGCCAGCCATTGTCCAGGAAATGGAAACTAGGGGGCTGTTGAGACAGCATCTTCATGAGCAAATTAGTATAACTTGTTAAAATAAGTTGTGTGGTTCATCTGAGACTAACAGGGTGGGAGATAATTGAAAACACATTTCCTAAGGAATTATATCTGAAAACAGTGGTTCCACTTTTGAAAACAAACTGCAAATTATATTCCCGTACAGTTAACAAAGCAAATAATTCCTTTGATTCCTAACACATGGAGTTATGACAAATTCATAAAATATGTGTATGCGGTTTTTAAAGAAAAAATACTGTCCAAATTACAGTATGCGAGTGTACTTAATTTAATTTGTTGTGTACAATGGACGTTTCACCTGAAAATGGTTAGAGGGAGGAAGGTCTGCATGATTATAGCAATATAGGAATGACAGGCTTGCTGTCTATTATATATGGACATATCCAGAGGTATATTGTATAGAATTTAAAATAAACAGAATGACTGTAAATGTCCATGGTTAATGAAAAAAATCATACACTGGCCAGCTGGGATTAGAACGGGAATGATGCTATGGGAAACCATTTCATTTTGCCTAAAGGCAAGATTGGTTGATTTGCATATGTGTAGAGAGATACCAGAGAGATATGGAACAAATTAAAGTTAAAATTAACATTTACAAATTATTTTAAAATGTTAAAAGAATAGTTATAAATTCAATTCATTTTTAGAGTTCCTATTTAAGGCCTCAAACATCTTTCTGTATTCCATGAGACATATTGAAGGAAATTGTTTTTACTGGCAGGAGTTTAATTAGCATGTTTAGGTTGTTGGAGTTGAAGATAAACAGTTAGTTGTTTTATTTACTGACAAATAGTACATTCTTATGTATGTCAGGAGAAGGAAGTTTGAATAACTTCATTTAACACCAGGCAAGTGTATACAAACGATTGGAGTCTAAAACAAACACATACTGGAGTCCTACTAACATTAGAAGGATTTAAATGTCAGTATATTTACACAGGATTGTACTGTAAACTCACATACCTTATTATCATCTTATTATTATACAGTTTAGGATTTGATATTGGATGTCATAGTTACGTTAACAAATTTTTCCTACAGTGCTTTGTTCCATAAGCTTTAGATAGCATTTCTTAATTAGTTAGTTTACTTTATTGTCATTGCACCTTGTACAACGAAATTAAATGCCATCTTCAGTGTACATTATACATAAAAACATACAATTCGCATTTATACAATTCACATTTATACAATTGAATTGAAAACCCCTGAAATTGCATTAATATTGCACTATACAGTAGAATTCAACAGAGCTACTGCCCTGGGATAGAAGCTTTTTCAACCTATTTGTCCTTGTTTTTATTGTCCTGTACCGTCTGCCTAGTGGTAATAATTCAAAAAAAGAGTGCCCTGGCCGAGATGGATCTTTAAGAATATTTTGAACTTTCTTAAGGCAGTGGGAGCTATAAAGCTCTTCCTAAGAGGGGAGAGGGCAACCAGTGATCCTCTGGGCGATGACATTAACCTTCTGGAGTGCTGTCCTATCTGCCACAGTGCAATTAGCAAACCATACACAGGTGCAGTAATTTAAAATACTCTCCATGGTGCAGCGGTAGAAGGTCACCAGCAGTTTTTCATGCAGTTGTTGTTTCCTGAGAAGTCTCAGGTAGTATAATCTCTGCTAGGCTCTTTTGACCAGGGCTGCAATGTGAGCGCCCCACGTCAGGTCCTCTTCTTCAAACAGTTTGTTAGTCAGATGAAAATGCAAAGGAATCCCTTCAAAGTGAATCCTCTAAGTTTGAAATGCTTCCAGATGGCGGGGCAGTTGCAGTGTTTCACTTATCATAAGTTATACCTGTGCATGTGTAGAAGCCACGTCTTTGCAGTGGAGAAGTGCCCATGGGCTCCAGGTCAACACTTCATGGATGCTGCATTGAAGAGCTTCATCAAGCTGATTGAACAACGAGGGTTCCATGGTGCTCTCTGTTCTTGGCTGTTTTCTTGCATTACCAAACTAGGTAACATCATCAGTGCACAGCACAGATTGAACAACATTTGCATCATATTAGTGTCTCCCATTTAACATTCTGGTTTCCATCTTTGTTTCCCAAGCAAAGTTACCAATAATTCTTATTTGCGCATGATCCTATTATCTACAACTTTTCCTAAGTGTTCATTCACATCTATAATAGATGATCATATATAGTATATTCATTAACTCCTATACTGGATTCAAGCTTACTTGTTTTGAGTTCTACAGTCAGACAATTTATTCCCATGGCAGAAATAATGTGAGAAGGATTTATACATGTTTAGTGAATATTCGGAATCATTCTCAAATTCTTGGCATAACT